CCGAACCTGAGGCGAATAATTGTTTTAGTATAATTTCAGAGCTGAACAACAGAGAAATTTCTAAAGTCATAACATTTTAGTAACATTTATTAACATTTTAGTTTAACATTTTATATAAAACGCGCGGAGCGGTTTATATAGCGTCATATAAGGAACCGCTCGACCAATCAGATTGCTGGAAACTCTTTGTTCAGCTCTGAAATTATACTAATTATATATATACATGCATATACTCACACACATACACGCATACTTATGATGCACATACCTATATACATAGATGTACATTCATATGGCATGATAAATAATAAGTAAGAATTGTTTTGACTAGGAATACTAAAAATTCTTCACGAAATGTGATTTTTGAATCGAAGAAGAGTACAGAAAAAGAACACAGAAAGCTGTCCTCTGATCTTCACTTTGCAATTAACAATGAGTTGCAGCGTCAAACTTAAGCAACATCCACTTTTTATCCCAGGTTTTTTGGATGCAGTGCAAGAAGCCTCGTATTTTTTTTAGTCTTTCTTTTGACAATCCCTTTAAATAAGTGAAAGGAGGATTGGTACAATTGTAGAGTTGTGGAAAGGGTCATTCATTTGTGCATCTTGAGTAGTTTTCAAGTGTACACTTAGTAGATTTACAGAGATACAATACACTGGTGAGATGTGACTGACGCCAAGAGCCATGAGATGGTAATCAGTATGTAAAAGCCCCAGAATCCATCATAATGAGGGAATGAAATTTTGTCTGTGCTACCAAATCAATTATAAAAAATAAATACTTTATGTCACTACAATTGGTTGGAATTTTCTGACATTGAAATAGCATTTACTAGCATCAGTTCTTCATCAGAGCCACACCCCCAATGAGGTTTCGCAGGCGTGGAAATAAAATACTAGATAAGGTTTTTCAAGGTCTGATTGAACGATTTTTCTTTTGTGTTGCAATATATGAATTCTCTACAAACGATCAAGACTTTTTAAAGGCAAAGTTAGTTTCTTCTCTTTCCGTGAGAGGCGTGATTTAAGTGCGCGTGCGAACCCATTCCATTATTCCCACTCTCTGTCCTACAATGTTACTCAAAAGTACTGAAATTTTTTTGGCCCGAAATGATTGTAAATGCAACTGATCAGGACTCATCCAGAGAAATGTAATGATTCTGGGACGATAAAATTTCAAACACTTAAAAGTCTACAACGAATAAAACAACAAACAAACCAACAAACGATCAAAAGCAACAACAACAACAACAGAAAACACACACACGAAGAGCTGAAAAAGCCTCATCTCTGAATTCCGTCGTAAAGAGACAGAAAATCCTAAGAAAATCAGTTCCTCTTGAAGCTTATGAATATGACATTGTGTACTTTGATAAAAGAGCACATGAAACGGATCGACACTATTCATTCCTATTCATTGACTGACCAAGCGTCTGTAAACTAAGTGCAGTTTTTCTGTCACTTTTACAGGTTGATTTTTTTAACTGCCCATCCTCCAAGAGCAAGGAAAAGTTGGTCAAGATGGCACAATCTTCGCCTTCTTCTGAAATTCCGGTTTACAGAGGCCAAGTTACACTCGTTTGAATGAACTAGTGGTGGAATAATTTAGCGTCATTTAGCACCACTCTCCTCTCGCTGACAGGTACTGTTTCACATCCAACATTGTGATTGGGCAAAACTAATGTAGCATACGAACATAAGTCGGCGTTACTCCTGCTAAATTTCGCATACTGTCACTGGGCTGTTTTGAACTTCAAAACGTTTAGACTGAAAGGTAAATTAAGACGATCGAAGAGTCAAGGGAAATTAATCAGTTCCGTTGTTCAATCTAATACTTACTCCAGTCCTGTTCCTGTATTTCCATTTTTCATGATCGAAAACTGGAGATGGGGGATACCCCCGCTACGTCATTTCTCAAAATTAAGTTCAACGATACGTTTCAATTTTGGGTGGAACGCTGTTTTCATGTTGGATTCCTATGGATTTTAAAGTAACATACAGCATGTAATCTGCTGAAATTTTCATTGGAACGTAAGTAAATGTGATGAAAGTTGGAAATAAATTGGGTTGTAACAAGAATAGATTAATTTCCTCGTGTAAGCCACCTTGCTTATGCCCAGATGCGGTTTCACTCGGCGTCGCTCGTTGATGACAAGGCGAGGAGATAGTCTCAAGCTCTTAAAAAGCTATTTCATACAATGCAAAACGTGAATCAAGGAATGGTCGAAGTGATGAAATATTCTATAACATGTAACATCGAGGCCATCTTCCTCTTGAAGCGGATGCGAGGTGGTCGAACTCGAACACTCGCTTCATTATTTTTAAATTGTTTTGAAATATTGCAAAAGAAAATTAGCTGGAATCATACTCCAGGTAATACTCTTTTACTCTGTCTTCTTTGTTCTTGCTTATTAAATTCGGAACAACCTTAAGCAGTTTCTGGAAGTCTTCAGAACAAATTCCGATAAACACCACTCAGACCAAGAGGCTTGTTTGTGTCGTGTTTTGGAACCAGGCAGTTTATTAAATTTATATATCCTACGTACATAACACATTAGACTATTTCATCGAACGTATTCGACGGATACACTAAAATAACGGTTCATTAATTCGAAGTAAATTATCAAAACTGCCTATGGTTGGGGTGGGAGGGAAAAAACTTAAATGTCTTACTGTAGAGTCAAAGAATAAACTTGTTGCTTGTTTGGTAGCTAGTAAGATGTGCTCAGATACCTAAGCGGTAAAATACTTAAATAGTTTCTCAGTATAAACGTGCTAGGGTGGAGCATAGCCATTGGTTCTATCCAAGTCTTTTGACAAGTGTCAGTGCTGAACAAATGGTTCAATCTGGGAAAGAGGGATCATGTTTACTATAGGTACTCTTGACTGATATATCAGTCAACATATCATTTGAGAGTAAGTCAAAACTCAACCAATATAATGTCGGTTGACACTCAGTCAATAGACCGTCCACAGTTGCTTGATAGTTGGTCGACACTCGGTCCATAGTCGCTCAATACCTGGCTAATACTTGGTTGAGACTCGCTCGATAGTTGATAATCGATAATGTCGACCAATATATCGACCAACTATCAATCAAATCTCTACCGAATATCAGCCAGCTATCAATCTGCCATTGACTGATTGTCGACAGGCTATGGACCAAGTGTCGACCGAGAATCAACCAAGTGTTGACCGAGTGTCGACCAACACATTGGTCAAGTATTGACCAACTCTCAACCGATATATCAATCCCTATGTGGGTCGAGAGTATCTACAGTAAACATGATCTGGAAAGACTTATAAGTAATGTCCCGGCTATACCTATAAATCTGGACCTCTCTGTCTAGTATTCATGGAAATTTGCAATTTACTTGGAAAGAAACTTCACAGTCATGCTCAGACAAAGTCAACAGTTTGTATCCTCCTTTTACCAAGGTCGTAATTGTGGTAATGCAAATTTCTCTCTGTGTTTATTCAGTGTCAAGTTAATCCTACATTCTGAAACCTTGAAATCCTAAGATCTGATTGTTAATTCTCCCCTCCTGCTGCTATTCATTTCCTTGCAAGTTGGTTAGTAGAATTTGGTGTTAGATCAAGNGGGGTCTAATGCGAAAGCGTTAGCGTTTGCCAACTAGGGGGGTCCGGGGGCATGCTCCCCCGGGAAAATTTGAAATTAAAGTCTTCTGAAATGGCTAGAAATGGATCTAAAACTGCCAAAAGTGAAGTTAATTTTTAATTCTTATAAAACAACAAGTAACAAACTGGCCTTCACGTTTTGCCAAATTGAAATGAATAGACTAACTTCTGAGTAAAAAAAAAAATAGTGATTTAATCAGCCAAAAAAGGGGGGGGGGATAGCGCTAAACCCACTCCCTGCGCGGTCCCTGGTAACGAGTTTTAAAAGCTGACGTTTCCATCGTTAATTTTCAGTTGTCCATGTCACTGATACTGACATAGTTTCAAATACAAGAATTCAGAAGCTCTATTTCCCGTCACAAATACCCCACAAAATGTTTTCCAAAGTATTTTAATCTTAATGTATGGGGAAAAGAAATGGACTTTTAGGGTTGAATCCTGGGCCGTTAGACCGATCTCATGGTCGAATGGTATGACGTCGTTTAACCAAGGACGTCAATATACTGAGCATCCCTTACTGATGGGAAGCTGCTTCACTAGTTTTGCCCAATCGTCGCTAGCAGTACTCCTGATAAGTGTTTGGCATGCTCTCTGGACTGTTTCCAGCTTAGAAACGTCCTAAACTGGAAGGTAAATTAAGACGAAGAGTCGAGGGAAATTGTCAGTTCCGTTGTTCAATCTAGTACATACTCCAGTCCTGTTCCTGTATTTCCATGATCACAAACGAAAACAGGAGATGGGGGATACCCCCTCACGTTATTTCTCAGAGGGTACGTTTCGAATTTTGGGTAGAACGCTGTTTTCATGTTAGATTCCTATGGATTTTAATGTAACATACAGCATGTAATCTGCTGGAATTTTCATTGGAACGTAAGTAAATATGATGAAAGTGAGAAATAAATTGGGTTGTTATAAGAATAGATTAATTTCCTCGTGTAAGCCACCTTGCTAATATGCCCAGATGCGGTTTCACTCGGCGTGGCTCGTTGATGACAAGGCGATGAGATAGTCTCAAGTTCTTAAAAAGGCCTAAGACTATTTCATAAAATGCAAAACGTGAATCAAGGAATGGTCGAAGTGATGAAATATTCTATAACATGTAACATCGAGGCCACCTTCCTCTTGAAGCGGATGCGAGGTGGTCGAACTCGAACACTCGCTTCATTATTTTAAAATTGTTTTGAAATATTGCAAAAGAAAATTAGCTGGAATCATACTCCAGGTAAAACTCTTTTACTCTGTATTCTTTGTTCTTGCTTATTAAATTCGGAACAACCTTAAACAGTTTCTGGAAGTCTTCAGAACAAATTCCTTATAAACACCACTCAGACGAAGAGGCTTTTTGTGTCGTGTTTTGGAACCAGGCAGTTTATTAAATTTATATATCCTACGTACATATTTACAATTAGAAGTAAATTATCAAAACTACCTATGGTTAGGGTGGGAGGGAAAAAACTTAAATGTCTTACTGTAGAGTCCAAGAATAAACTTGTTGCTTGTTTGGTAGCTAGTAAGACGTGCTCAGATACCTAAGCGGTAAAATACTTAAATAGTTTCTCAGTTTAAACGTGCTAGGGTGGAACATAGCCATTGGTTCTATCCAAGTCTTTTGACAAGTGTCAGTGCTGAACAAATGGTTCAATCTGGGAAAGAGGGATCATGTTTATTGTAGGTACTCTTATCAGTCGATATATCATTTGACAGTCAGTCAAAACTCAACCAATATAATGTCGGTTGATACTCAGTCAATAGAATGTCCACAGTTGCTTGATAGTTGGTCGACACTCGGTCCATAGTCGCTCAATACCTGGCTAATACTTGGTCGAGACTCGCTTGATAGTTGATAATCGATAGTCTTGACCAATATATCGACTGACTATCAATCAAGTCTCTACCGAGTATCAGCCAACTATCAATCTACCATTGACTGAGTGTTGACAGACTATGGACCAAGTGTTGACCGAGAATCAACCAAGTGTTGATCGAGTGTCGACCGACACATTGGTCAAGTATTGACCAACTCTCAAACAATATATCAATTGCTATGCGGGTCGAGAGTATCTACAGTAAACATGATCTGGCCATGCACAAGAAGGTTGTTTTTTAGGAAACAATAAGTTATGGCTGCAATGAAGACAAGATTCCTGTGAAATAAAGGTGTTAAAATTAAGTATCTTAATCAATGCCATACTAATTTCAAAGTTAAAATGGAATTTAACAACAGTGACTTCATTGCAGACAAGGTAAAGCAGTATGAAGCTGTTCAGGAAGCTAGGGCTCTGATATACAAAGACAAAGAAAAGTATTGCACCCATTTTCATAATTTGGGTCCCTGGAGCCATTTTGATTTTTTGGTGAGTCTATGCACACAATTTCATATGTGAAGCTCAGGCTTATATTTCAGCCCGGTTTGAAATTTGTCATGTAATCACAACAATATTTTAGCTTGCCCAACGAGTTAAAAGCTCAACTCAGGCTGGAGTTCACCAAATAGGTAATCACAACCTTTAAGGATAAAATTTCATAATTTCTGAAAATGATGGTCTGAAAGGTAACAAGAGACCCTACTTATTAAGTACTTTGGGATAAAGATTGATTTAGTTTAATTTTCACCATGACAGGAAATCATTTTAAAAGAATGCATGGCATTCAGGTATTACGATCCATTTTTATATTGACTGGCTACTTTAGAGGAGTAGCGTTCTCCTATGGAATTAATCCCCATGTGTATAAGGTTATTCAAGAATGAGCTGGCAAACAGAATTCTTTTTAGTTGTCTGTGGAATTGGGTAAAAAAAAAAAAAATTTTCCTTTCCTTAAGGTGTATGATTTTATAATTTAATTTGACCCAACATGTGGGTGTTGGGTCAAATTTAAAATACTTAGAATCCCGTACAGGCCTGATTTTTTCAGGTCTGATTTTCGCTATTGCATAAATAGCGCTCTCTACTGCGAGGATCGTGCATCATACATATGTGGGTGTGTGTGTGTGTTTTTGTTTGAATTTTAATTCTTTTCCAAAGATTAAGAGTTTCATGATGTGAGAGTACTTAATCACCAACTAGCTTTGCAGACAGGTTTATATAATTCCTAAAGAAAATTAGTTTGTTGATCACAAATTCTGCTGGTACATCTCAAGGGATTATGAGTCACTTTGGGAAGAGCAGTCTACCAAAAGTGATCTTTAGCTTTCTTTTCTATGCAACCCTTCAACTGATGGCTGGCTGGGTTGGACATTTCTGAGCTATTTTTCACAAGTTTGAAATTGAAATGTTGATGAATGGATCACATTCATGTGAAGTTTAACTTTCTGCTTGTAGATTACCATGGCAACTGGCCCAAGAAAAATAATTACCACCATGCCTACTTCCCCTCCAGGACCCTCCATCCCCCCCATAGTTCTAACAGCACCCTCAGGACCTGGTAAGTAACATGTCAATTTACAATTATAACAGCTGCAATCTATTAGAACATCAGATAGGTCTTCAGCCTGAACAGCAGAGTGTAAAACAGTGCAACTGTACTTCAAATGACATAACTGACTTACCGAGGGTAACTGATTTTAATTATTTAGTGATTAAGTCTAAACCACGAGTTCCCTACTAAATCTGGTCAGTAATTCTTCCTTCTACCTACCAGACCTTGCCAGGCATTTCCATGGGAATGAATCACTCTTGACTGAGTTGGTGTTCCTGTTTACTGAGTGCTGAAACTAAAGGCAAAGTTACACCTCTAGGAGTTCTGAATTAAGGTTTAAGCTTTTTCTGGCATTGCTTATTTGATTTCTATTTTTCCCCTTATTCTTGTTATTACTTCATGCAGCCAGTAGCTTTGATCTTAATGATAAGCAGAAGAGATGGGTTGTCATTGGAATCACTTTAAATAGGCTTCTTCTACCGGTCGTGCGTGACTTTGCTGGCAAAGAACTTTCTAATCACTACACATCATTGAAGAGCTCCAGTGGAGTAGATACACAGGTTTATTCCACTCGCATGAAAAAAGATGGATTATTTGATTTAAACTATGGCAGTATCAACAACAACTGGGGAAGGTTCAGGAGAAAGGAGCATTTATATGATTTCAAAGTGTTGTCTGCTGAAGATCTGGCCAAACTTTACCTCGAACCACACTTGGCCAAGTTTACAGGTTACATTTGTGTTTTAAATTTTTACATAATTATATTGTTATAAACTTAAAAATTTACAGAGAAAGCTGAATTGATTTATTTGTTTTATTTATTATAACTTTTTACACATGAGACAGCCTTCTAATCTAACTGAAAATCAAAAGAAGAAAGAAAAAAGATCACTTTGGTAGATAAAACAGAATGAAAACAGGATGAAAATGTTCCTATGGCTAAAAAACAGATTTTTGATCACTGAAAATAAAATCCTCCCACCATTCTTATCGAAATTATCTCAAAAATCATTTTGTTTTTTTTAGAATTATTGACATTATTTACTTGATGAATTGGGGCCCGAAACACTGAACTTCGTCAAGCTTCATTGAATTTCGTAAGATTTAATTTTTTAGCGAATAATTAACAGCCGCATTTTTTTTTTCTATGCAATTTTTCTTTCACAGGATTTGATAGCACATGTGACCTGTCAGCAGTTTTAGGAATGCTGGCAAATTCATCAGTGTTTAAAACTCCCACCAACATTCAAAATAATGCTAAAGATGTGCGCTCCAAAGTACGAAATGAGTGGGGACACTGCAACTTCGATCATTGGACTGACCTGGATTTCAATCACTGTTTCCAACTCATGGAAACATTGATTCGTTCATTGGGGCTTCCAACACCCAGTGAGAAGCAATTGCTTGGTGACCTTCAAGACTGGCACACTAGGGGTAAGTGTATTTACATTGGCGTGCTACTGTTCAGTAACAGATCACAGATGGCTTCAAAATTCGGTGAGAACGATAAACTGGCATATAGTACTCAACGTGTAGCCGAGTGTGGCACGAATGTTCTTAACACATTTTGACGTCCTCTCCGATGTATTACTGTACAAACTTGAGACACCATGGAATCCATTTGTGTTATCTGATAAGAAAAAGTAGATCCTTGTTAATGGTGACGTCATCCATGCGTTTTTTTTTTTTCTCCAATGCAAGTAAAAACCAATCAAAATGCGTGTAGGATTCAGTTTATCATATAATTCCCTTTACATTACAGTTGTCAGTTTCTTTAGCTCAGTACTCCTTCACTGGGGTGCAAATATGACCACTGACGGTACCCAATCACCACATCTAAGAGTAACTCACTGACGTCCATTCTCAACACGCCATCGGTCTTTTGTAGTCAAGTTGCTTACATCAATGATCAACTCGCTGACTTCTTCGGTCGACTTGCCGACGATAACTTTTGATGTTGGCGAGTTGACCGATGATGTAGGCGATTTGACGAAAGGTGAAGATGTGTTAAAACACGGCCGAGGTGATCGGCATTCTTAAGTCAGTAACGACCACCTTAGCGGAGGTCATCATCAGAGTCAATGGTCAGTTAAAACGGCGCCCGGTGTTTTTTTTTCTCGCTCGTGCTATTAAAAAATGAATGGACATACATCACAATAGTTCGCTTCCTTTTTTCAGTAACGTGTGGTAGTGTTCTCTCTCATTTTAAGCAAGACAGATGAAACACTCAATCCTTTATCATTTAATTCAAGATTCCAAACGATTTTAGACGGTAATAAGATGTTCTTCACTTCTTTAATGGCCTATCTCCAAGATCAGAAACAAACAAAATTGGTCGAAAACCTCCAATTACAAATAAAGAACACTTATATGAGCGTTTGAACCTTTTTTTAAAAAGTAGTGCGTGTGTTTCCTGAGAGGTACTTCCCAGTGATTCATCTTCATCATAGTTTGCATGTCACTGAAAAGTGCTGCAACGATTGACATGGTACGAATGACACTCATTGCAATTGTTACTTACTTGAAAATGTTAGGCAAAGTTTCTCAAGATAAACATACTGTTTGTAGGTCCTTAACTTGACGCCATTTACTTTATAATAATTTGACATCTTCTAACTATTGGCAGGTTTGCAATTGTGCATGGGTTGCCCAGTGGACAAGGATTTGATGAAACTTGTCAGCCTTGAGGTAACCAACTTATCACAAAACTTAGAGGGCATTAAGAAGTCTAATGCTGAGGAAGCTGACAAGATAAGCGAGGCCTTGAAAGATGTCAAACATGAAATCAATATATTTGATCGGCGTATAACCGAACTTGAGACACGAGCAGAGAAAGAACTAAGGGCACAGTTAGAAAAGAACGAAGTCTTCTCCGAGGCAATTGGCGATATTTCGAACAGCGTAACAAAAGTAGAGAAACGACAAGATACAACTGAACAAAAAGTATCTCAGCTAGAAGAAAGGCATAATCAGCTAGAATCCACCGTAGAGACTTTAGATTGTCGACTTAAAAAGCTAGAGCAGGGTTATATGAAAGCCACAGCCAATGCCGA